ATGTCTCCATCACAAGCAAGTAGGGAGAGATGACTTGGCTTATTTAGACAGATAAATTGTGTTAGTCTCAATAAAAAAGCTGCTGAAAAATGACAGTTCATTACATTTGTGACTCTGCACAGAAATATGATCCACAGTATGACAAATAAGCTTCTATAAATTTGTTAACTATTTAAAATAAAGTAACCTAATCATTGTCCTATTAAAAATGTTCTTTACCCTTTAAACTGAAACCAAGCTTGCAACTATTTAAAATAAATGTTTTTAAGGAAAGTGATTTCATTAGCAAATCTATAATATTTTGCATGTCATCCACAATGGATTTTAATTTAATAACTATTTTTAAAAGAGTTATACCATTGTAAAGTGGCATCAAATTTGAAAATATAGCAAAAGGCTTGTTTTGAAAGGGATAACTAATGTATTTCTGTTTCATTTACATAGAAAACAAGAAGCGAATTTCTAGGCTAGATAAAAGGAACAATTAAAAAGTTTTTAAATGTTATATAAATTTATGACTGAGGAATAATTATGTACCTCAAGTGAAACAATTTTCAACTAAATCTTCACTGTTTAATAAGTCACAATTCCAGAATTAAACTAATTCTGGTTATAAAACATAAAAAAACTTATAAACCTGTCACAATGATATATATATATTGAGTGGAGGTTAAAAAAACACTAGAAGATATATTCTAAGGAAAAGCATGTAAAGGAATTTTAAAAATTGATCTATTGCAACCATAGACAGTGATTAACACTCTTTCCACCTGGCGATACTAGGATCTAGAGGAACATAATATGCTATTCAAGATTCAGTCTGAAAACAGAGACGCAATGTGGTGCAGTCAAGCCAGCCCCTTGTTCTTCACCATCCCATCAAGCATTCCAGTATGATTATTTCTATCAACTTTTTGGTTTGCCTCGACATCTTTTTTCATAGGGCAGGGACATATCCAAGAATTATAGAGGAAAGTACTTTTCGAATGTTTCAAGGGTATTTTATACTTTAAGAATATATCTTCAGCCTGCAGAGGATTTTGAGACCACCAGATAATAATTATATGGACATTAAAGACTGCTGGATGAACTTAATACTCTGTTTTAAGTACTTTCTTCCTTATCAAGCTTAGTACATATATAATTGAAATACTTCTTATCTCAGCTCATAGCTAATTCTCCTGGAACTGAAATGGCAGTAATGTAAATACAATAAATACTTCAATATCTGGGGCCCATGTTAATCCAACATGAGCCAAATTAATCTAAATTATAAGAGGGTGGCATTGAAATAAATAGATTTAGTAGAACTTGACAAAAGAGCATAGTAAAAGAACCTATCACTCAGAAGCAAAGACACCTAAAGGTGGAAAAATCCAGCAAGCCACAAATCTTACATTTTTTACCTCTAATAGCCCTTTGGCATCTACTTATATCACTGTTTAAAACTCATATTTCATATTTAACATGAAATATTTCAGTAAAAAGATACCAAAAATATGAAGTCCATAGAAATGTAGAGCTTCTGGAATCACAGATTTCCTAAAAAAAATAAAGATTTTTTTTGTCACCAGAGAGGAAGTATACGCCATGTAAGTGCAGCATCACTGGCTTAAAACATGTTTAGAACTTCACAGGTAATAGAATGCATTTTTACAGAGCCATTTCTTTGTGATTAGAGATTTCCAAATTCCTACACACACAACCACCGTGTGGCACCAGTTAAAATGATGCCAGTACTTACCATCTGAATGAAGAAATGGCTTTCAGTGCAGACACAACATTCTTTCCTAACCTTGTCACAAAGCAAATCCAAGTTAAATTGAATTATATACAAATAATTGAGATTTCTGATTTATGGACTTCAAACTGCCTCCTTGTCCTAAGGAATTCTCCACCATATTTATTCTGCCTACACTGTAGATTGTGTCTTCAGAGGCTGACTCATTCTATGTTCAGCTCATGCAGTATATCATTATCTTGCCCACAGACAAAATACACATTGAAGTCGGATGAGAATGCCCACTGACTCGAGAATCTTGAGAAAGGGATAGGAATTGTGTTTTAAATGGCATATCCACTAAGGGAAATAGTGCAGCTAGGGTGAACTCTTTCCCTATGCAAGAATTGAGTTGAAAATACAAACAAAGAAACAAAAATCACAATATTTGCCTGCAATGTATTTCTCTTTGTAATTCATTTTAGGAAGTATTTTTCACAAAATTGGTATAATGTACCAATCAACTTCATACACTGCTCTAACACCTTCATTAATAATGTAAGTTACTTCTCCATTTACTACAACCTGATCACATTATATTATTTTTTTTTAATTTGGAAACTACTTATACATATTGTCTAATTAGCTTCACTCTGAACAAAGAAATAACCTGGTTATAAAATGTTATAATTAACATGAAAATGAACAATAGAGACCTTTCTGGTTCAACATTCACACTTTTTACTTCCAGACAGGTGTTCTGAATACGTGAAAACATTCCAGGCAGATGGCTCCATATATTCTGCACACTATAATGTCAAGATTTTGCCCCTCATTATAACATTCTGAATGTTATCAGTGCTGCCTCTGCTATCTAAATTTAAAAGGTATTTTAGGCTTTAGAAAGATAATGCGTAGTGTTTGTCTTAAAGTTAAGAGGATAAAACAGTCCAAATATTCTCTCAAGTTCAACCAAAACTTCTTGCTTCACTTAGTTGCCACAATTCTAGAACAAGATTTCAATGTTGTGAAAGAAAATGACATAACTCACAAACCAGAAATTTTTTTAAAAAGTGTCAGTTACTTTATTCCCAGAAGAGAGTATAAGCTTTGAACCATCTGCTGGAATAATTTTACTTTTTATCAATTTGAAATTATTTATGTATTTCTCACTGACTCTGCAGCTACTATTAAAATTAGTACGCATGCAGGAACTCTCCCGTGGTCTCTCCTTTAAGTTTTGGGAAGGTCAAATTATTGAGTCCTCTTTCCAAGAACTAGTGAAGAGGTTTATGGAAACACATATCTAGCTACTCATGTATAATTCTCTAGCTAAAATCAATTGATTATTTTCACACAATATTAGGACCTAATGAAAATCACCACACCCAGAAGTCAGTCTTTACCTTTTCAAATATCCTTCTCCAGGATCCATAACCACACATTGAACTGTCTTTCCTCATCCTTTTATTGCTGAGTTAGTGCTGGTTCTTTCTTTGAACAACATTAAAAATAGACTGCACAGAACTCCCCAGCGAAGAATGCCCTACCGGGGCTAATGCCACAGTTCTCAAGGTAACCACACTCATTTGGGATCTGAGAGAGAAAGTCACTAGGAGATCAGCAATTTGCAAATCTAATAGCACACGAAAAGCTGTCTGGGTCTAAGCTGAATGTTGTAAGAGAGAAATAAGCATATAGTGAAATGAGCTCTCTGAGAAGCTGAAAGTCAATTCCTGGAGCTATGTAAGTTTCTTTAAATATGCCTCACCCAAACAAAGTACTCTACTAAATAAGTATCCATCTAGAGTAACTGAACTGTTTTAATTTCCAAATTAAATAAATCATGCTCAGAGGTGACAAATTAATGCATATATCCATAGCATTCTAAATGTCTTTAAAATTTCACTGAAGCCGAATCATAATAGTATTGATAAACAAAGAGAGTAACCGATTACACTTTTGCATCTTTTGTGAGCAATAGGTGCATTCCTCAAAGAACACATCTGAACTCTCTCTCCAGAAAATTTAAAAATATTCTGTTAGAATGATAAAAAGTAAAGACATGTAAAAACAAAGAAATATAGAAGTAAACACCCAAAAATACATACCTTGGAGACCCACAGAACCTGAAAAGAATGCATACATACTTTCTTACACATAATCCCACATTAGTAATGCAGCAGAAGCGATTACTGTTAAAATAGATTATTCCACTATTTGCACAAAATATAGCTAGACCTCCTGCCTTCCAAATTCTGTTCATCAAGAAAATAACAACAGATAAAATATTATGAAGACATGCAAACCTTGGGAACATGCAAACATACTGGATCAAAGGAGTAGGTGTGTTTCTTTAAATGTGTATTAAAGGTTTTCTTTTACCAAAATATAAACAATGATTTTTCTGTCATTTCTATTTTATTTACTCTAAATAATCACTCTATTTTTGATGCCCCAAGCAGATGAATACAATTTTATACAGATTCATTTCAACTTTGGTAATATCACTCTTTGGAAAAGCTAAAATATTGTACCAATAGACTTAAAACAGACAATAAAATTAATATCTATACTAAATATATTCTCATGAAAGCAATTTCTACACATATCATATATTTTCTTTAGCTTCCTATTCCCATAACTTTCAATTTGCTCTTTCCTTTTTGCATTTGAACTTGCATGGTCTTTATCTGTATCTTCAGAAGGTGACCAAGTCCTGAAACTGAGGCTGATGATCCACGTACTTTATTTCTATGCACAAACACTGACTCAGTGTATTCCTCTTCAAAAGAAACTTTCTAAACACCTGTCTAGTTCAATTTAACAATGCAACAGGCTAGAAGAATGTAAAAATAAAACTCAAAATTCTTGTTCCTCAAACCTCTTGAGACCCAAGACTTCAGTCCTCTTAGAAAAACACATTTGATTGCAACTTTCTGCCACTCATCTAGCTCTTCTTCAGATTAAGAGCATTCCAAACTTTCTGTCAGGAAACCTACATAAATCACTGTAAACTTTGACACAAAAGCATTGTGTTTTTCAATTTAACTTCCAGTTTTTGCACTTCTGCCTGATTGGAGGGGGAAGGAAAACTACTCGTCCTTCTATAAAACAGAAAACGGTACATAGATCACAACATCAGCTTTCTACAAATACAATGAAAAAAAAATACAAGCGAAGAACAATTCAAAAGAAAAGCAAGATACATGGCAGAAACAAAGTAGGGAGAAAAATTCACAAGACATACAATGTTCACGTCAGAAAATCTGATTATTACCTTGACTGAACAGTGGCTATACCCCGAGCGTCTTGTTGCCTTGGTTGATTTGATTTGGTTTAGGCTTTTATTAATATTATTGTTTCTTAATGATTGATTTGGCTGAGTTGGTTTGGTTTGATTTTTGGCTTGTCTTTTTGTTGTTGCTTTTTTTTTTTTTTTTTTCCGATTGATTTAACTGCTATTAAAAGGACCTTTCTGCAGTGTAGGCTGGGGTCCCCGCACAGCTGTGGCAGCCAGGGCTGCAGCGGCTACCGAGGTGGCTTCGGCTCGCGTCCCCGCCGGCCCTGAGGCTAATCACTGGTCCGGACTCTCGCAGAGGGCACGGCTGCCGCCTCTGTCCCGCAGGTTGCAGACAGTCAAGGAGCCCCCGCCTCACGTCTGCTCCTCTGGAGAGTCTGCAGATCTGTCGGTCGGACCGTCTGTCTGTCAGTCTAGCAGCTCAGCGCCGGAATCTAGCTTTCTGCGCCCTGCTCGCCAAGCTCCCACTCTCGCTGGTTGGCAGTCCTTGCGTCAGTCTGTCCGCCCCGCCGAGTTCCTCCGCAGTCCACTCAGCAATGCAGGGTCTCTTCCCGTCTTCTGTGCCCGCAGCTTCTCTCCTACTCTGTGCCCCAGGCCACTTTCCTCGGTCAGAGGAGGGTGTCTGGAGGGAGGGCGCACATTTCTCTCTCTCTCTCTCTCTCTCTCTCTCTCTCTCTCTCTCTCTCTCTCCTCTCTCTCTCCTGCCTCTCACTCTCTCTCTCTCTCCCTGTCTCTGTCCACTCCCAGGAGGCAGGGCAGGGTAATCTGGCTGCTCCCACCTGTCCCTCGTTCGGCTCAGCCAGTGACACCTAGAATTAGCCAGCCTCGATGAGTCCCTTGGGACCACGTTCCCTGCCCGACCACCTTGGTCGTCTACCCTTCTCCCGTCCGTGTTCTCCCACTAGGCTGGCACTGCCATCGGGGGCGGTGCCCAGCTCCTCCCCGCAGCTCCGGATGCGTCCGGTCCCTGCCCGGGGGGTTGAGAGCACGGTAGGAGTTGCACGTGGCTCCACAGCTGCTGGAGCCAGAGATCCTGGTTTCCTGACCTGCCACACCCGAGAGGTGGCTACGGCTGGCTGACCGGTATTGTCCTGAGACTCTCTGCTCCTGGGCGCGGCCAGGCAAGTCTGAGTGCCCACACCTGCTCCGTGCGCCCGGCGCTAGCAGCACTACCGATTCCCCGGGCAGCTCCGCGCCAGCCCAAGGATAGAGACAAAGCGCACGAGCCACGCATGGGAGCATGAACATCATTAATCAGAGAGAAAACTGGCATTTTGCCCCCTGTCCCTTCACATAGCCTCCCCAGCCCAGCCAGAAGGCATGCGTTCCCTCCAGCCCCGGTGCCCAAGCCCTCAGGGTACCTCTCTCGTGGGTGAGTGTACTCCTGCAGATACTTGGCGAAGCCCTGCTCCGTTCCCTTCCCTAGGCGCTCACTTTCCTGGCCAACTCTGCGGAGAAAATCCCACAGTAATAACACCTCACCCCGCCCAAAGGAAGCCTTAGCCTCAGAGCTCTCGGAGATGCTCGGTTTCGGCTTTGAGTGAGACCAAAAGTCCCTCCCTGTGGGCGATTGCCCAGACCGCTGCCTACCTGAGCGCTGGTTGAGAATCACCCAGGTGCAGCGGAAACCAGGCAGGGGAGGGGGCAGGGTAGGGTCTGGGGCAGAGTTGACACCTGACGAAGTAAAAGCGTTGACATAACGATTATTTTGGAAATGTACTATTTTTTTATTAATCTGTAATTTTTATTTTCCATTGTCTCAGTCACACTACCAAAAATAAATAAATAAAAAATAAATAAATGCAGTGAATAGTGAAAGAGAGTGAATAAATTTCTGGACTACCACCCACTCCTCTTAAAAGACTGCACTGTAGGTCACCAGCCAAGATATACCACTCTAGTTATATGGCCCCCAGCTGTGAGCAAGGCATTTGGTTCTGGGCTGCTCTGCCAGGTTGTTATTAATGTTCAGCAAAATTATAGTTGTACACCCCTGCCTGGAATTGCCAGTGCTCATTGTGATGATATCCGGCAATTCAGTTTCTGAAATGTAGACATTGAATAACCGTGGATCTGGGGCACTGAACACCCCAGCCCAGAATAAACTGAAGTGAAAAATCAACTTCTACCACCTGCCATTAGTAACCTTGCAAATAGACAACAAATAACTAGCATAAACCACATTATGAAAATATCCACATCTTTTAAATTTTACTTATTGACACCCAATCATAAAGACAAACATTATTAACAGATTTATTAAGAGATGTGCCTTTCAGAGTCACAGAAAAAATGATTTCAATGTGGTCATGTTCATATATTCTAAAATATTGATTATGAATCTTAAATTATATGTGATGTTTTTAGAAAATTGCTATAAGGTAGAACAGATAACTTTACACTTGTCTTTCTGGATTGACAATTATCTTGCAACCATTAGAAATTTTCTTTCTTGGGGTTCAGTTGCTGCTGGCATAATGAATCTGTTGTGTAAGTTTTCATGCAAACCAAATCTATAAAAATCAGAATTGTTACCTTGATTTGTCTCCCCAACTTTTCTACTTAGTCACTCCCAAAAGCACTTAAGTATTTTCCAGACACATGGAATGTAAAGGAAAATTATTAAAATTGTTCCTGATTTACTTCACTTTTCTTTATCTCAAATTATGTCTTATAAAACTTACCTTTTTCAGTGGGAAGTTGTGTCAAGTTCTGTGTCACAAATCCATACAACTGAGAGCAAATGAATAAAGGATCAGTGTTGATTTCCCTTCTGGACAGGACCATACCTTATCACTTATTGGATGGAGGGATGGGTGATTTATTAACAGGAAACCATAGCCCCTAGTTAGGCACAGTCTTTCCACAACAAATGAGATTTTACTTGAAGAATTCACTAAAACAAATAAACAAAATGTGACTCAATCCTGTTAAGTAGATTAGAAATTATACCCATTGAATAGTTGTAGAGAGTAGTCAATCAGTATTCTGCTCCCAAACGCCAGTGATTATGTGGAAGAACAAAACAGAATGTTTCCACATCTTAACAGTGTATAGGCAAATCTGATGACAAAAATTAATACAGTACCTCACGAATTTTAATCATTTTTGGGGAAAAAGGAAACATTCCAAAGGAGAATGATGTTAATTTTCTTCAATTAACTTTTCTACCTTTTCTCATAATATTTTGTCAACCTACTAGGAACTGGAGAAGGCTAGAGTTTATTTGAGGCCATGTAGATAATTAACATTTGGCTATCCAATTTTAAAATGTCTTGTCCCAACGTGGGACTGAAATATACTCTGGGGAATACAAAGCAGGCAGTGAGCAATACATTACCCTTCGAGGCATTAGAAAGTGTTTGTATTTCCTTAAACAACTGAAACACTTGCCATCCTTTAAGGCCTGTGGCCTGACACAAATTTACTAAAACTGTTGTCTTCCTATTGGAGCATTAAGTGCCAGATTCATGATGTCAGTTGCAGATGGTGAACCAAATGTACTCTAACATTAGGAATGGGAGGTGGGGAAAGGGGAACTTTAGCAGGGGAAAAAAAAGGTACTGTTATTCTTGATCTGAAGATTTTGAGTTTATCTGGTGTCTTGTTTGAAATAGAAGGGGATGCAGTAACCAGGTAACCCCCAGCTTGGGGAGTTGAGCTCACCTACACACTGGCAAACACATAAGATTGTTGACAAGCTCCCTTAAACACATATTCCCTGAAGACGCTAAATTAGGGCCTTTTAATGAAGCTTCCAAATTGGATTTTCAAAATAAGGCAAATTGCTAGAATAGCCCAGCTACCTTTATAAGCACCTTTACAGCTGAAGCGAGAAGTAGAATTTCCATGCTGTTGAACTTCGATCATTCCTCAACAAATAGGCTGGGAGGAACTCCTCTTTTGGGCATATTCCTCCACCACAATAAAGGCCTACAAATTCCCCAGAGAGATATCTTATTTGCCCTTTTTCCAACAAAACTATCTAGGGTCTATTAAATACCAGTTTTGTGCTTAAAGCTCTACAAATACACCGGGTACAGAAAGGCAAAGGAAGAACATAGGAGAAAAAAAAAAATCAAGATTAACATTTCAGCCAGAAAAGTTGAGAGCCCCATTCTTATTTTGTGCTAAGCCAAAATAACTCCAAAACACATTTCAGAACATCAACAAAGAATGTTACATCACGTATGCATCTGAGCATGAAGAAATGTCACGATCAAAAACAAAGAAGACTTGGGAGACTAGAAACCAAATGTTCTGATGGCACAGATCCCTCGGTGGCAGATATGTCTCCTCTGAAGTAATCTGTGTACTGTACAAAAAATTATTTTCATGAACTCTTGCATTTCTCACAGGCAGATACTGACCTGCATGGGCAGGATGTAATGATTTTCTGCAAATGCAAGGAAAGAGTTTCCTTCCTCAGTCTTAGACTGAGTGTTTCATACTTTCATTGAAGTGCATCTGAAACAGAGAGACAATAAAAGGAAAAGGAAGAAATAGCTTAAAAAAAAAAGAGGTTTAAGAAACCTGTCACTGAAAGATCTGAACAACAAAACACAACAGAGACTGCCAATTAAGTTGTGTATTTCTTTTCATCATCTCCTGGGCTAGGTGTTCATCCTTAGTATTGAGAGTTTTCCACTGCCAGCCTCCACAGCACCGTGCTACTCCCGCTGTGCCCACGTCCTGTGATACTGAGGTCTCTACTGCAGTCGAGGTGGGTGAGGCAGGCAGTAGAGCTCAAGTGCTGGGATGCTTACCAGCTGCAGAGCAGGGGCACTGGCAGGACGCCCAGCAATGGGCATCTCTAGCTGGCCTGTGGTACCACACTCCAAGGACCACTTCTGCATGAAGTAGTCACAATCCCCCGTGGAACTCCCAGCAGGTATTTTTGAATTTTAAAAACCAGCCAAAACTTGAGAGTAGAAATGAAACCGAAATACTAAGAAATGTGTTGGGAAGTGTTACTCCACTGCGGCACAAGAATGAAGCACAACATAATGTAACATGCGCCAGACCACTGTCTGTGGTCCTGCTCTCTTACTCCCAGTTCCTGAGACTGCATTTTCCTCTGGAATGCACATTGCTCTACTGTTTTTCACACAAAGGTGCAGAAGGACCACTATGTTATTCCGAACTGGAAATAACATAGTTTCTGCACCAAGAAATGATAATATTAAAGTCTATCAATAAGCTGTTTGAACAAAATAGCTTCACATTATCTTTAAGAAGATACAGACATCTACATTTTAACTATTCTCCATTCCTTATAATGAAGTGTGTATGTGTGTGTGTGTGTGTGTGTGTGTGTGTGTGTGTGTGAATTTGTGATAGGTAACGGTGAGGGTGTGCAATTAATATTTAACTTGGAAACCCACCTTTAGGCCATTATCTAATGCCTAAAGAACAATCTGAATAAATACGCAACTTTTTCTTCATCTCTACTTTTTAAAGTTTCTTTTTATCTTTTTGAAGTAAATATACATTTACAAAATTGTATAGAGATATATGGGGAAAAGGAAGGATATCAACATAAAGAAGGAACAAAATAAAAATCTCCCAAAATACTACCACCCAAACTGCCATCACTTTTGTGCTTAGCAAATCTCTATGCATACATATCCATAAATCCATACATATATTAGTATATATGGATTATAGAATACGTGTTACTTTGTAATCAGTTTC